GTCCAATCATCAGACGCACGGAAAATAAATATACATTTACATGTTTTATTTACTCTATATTATATTATATTAATGCTACAGCAGCAGTTAAGTTATATGCTGAACTTTACGGTAACCGTACAATACCCAGCCGTTTTACATTTGCAAGGATACAAAAGAATTTACTTTCACATGGTTCTTTCAATAAAAAAAATATAAAAAGTGTAAGATTTAAGAGAGTAATAAATGAGAAAAATACTGTTATGGTTCTTGCACATTTATATAAGGATCCACATACATCATTGCGTAGAATATCAGGTTTGTAATCAAATTTTTGAATTATTAAAACATTTGTTAACACTTTTGAAATTATTTTTTTGTTATGATTATTATTTATACTAATTGCATGGCTCAGATCATAGTTATTCATAGCAATCAATACAAATTGTATAATTTATATGACTTAAATTAAACTGACATTTTATTTATATACACATTTGTATATTTGTTTTAAGCTGAAACTGGAATTACATACAGTTCTTGTCAAAAAATAGCAAAATTAAACAAACTTCATGACTACGAAATTCAATTAATTCACCATTTACGTGATTTTGAAAGAAGATTATACATGGTAGCTCAATTTTTAACAAAAATTGATGAAAAACCGGATTTTCTTACAAATATTTTATGGACAGATGAATCACGGTTTACAAATGATGGGATGATCAATAGACATAATAGTCATTATTGGTCCGATTCAAACCCTCATTGGATTAAAGATGTTAACTTTCAAGTTAATGTGTGGTGTGGAATTTTGGGAGACACCTTATTAGGTCCATACTTTTTTGATGGTACACTAACTGGGAATAAATATAGAAACTTTTTAAGCAATGAAATTCCAAAACTCTTAGAAAATGTATCACTGGAACAACGATTAAAAATGTACTATCATCAAGATGGAGCCCCAGCACATAATAGTATCATAGTTCGAGAATGTTTAACAGAAATATTTGACGTTAACTGGATTGGTAATCATGTTTTTGGAGACAAATTAAATATTTCAGAAATTAATTTTTTTTAATAAATAGGCACACATAGTCCAGAAATTAGATGGCCAGCTCGTAGTCCAGATTTGACTCCACTAGATTTTTTTCTTTGGGGTTTCTTAAAAGAAGTTGTCTACATAACCCAATCAGCCACTATTGAAGAACTTCAAAATAAAATAGTAGACGCCTGTGCATCAATTTCAAGGGAGATGTTATTGAAAGTAACCCACCACGAAGTATTGAAACGAATGGAAATGTGCCTAAAAGTAAATGGTGAAAATTTTGAAAATTTATTAAAATAAAAGTAAATTATTATTTTAATTATTAAATGTTAAAATATTTTATTTAATGAAAATATATAATTGTGTAATATTACTTTTGTCTTTAATGTAACTAACCTGACCTATAACTACCAAATATCGAAAAGTGACCACATTAATACTATAATATAAACCTTATTGCTTACGGTTCAGTTTAATTACAATTTAATGTGACACATTATTTCAATTTTAATAGCTGTAGATAAAGTTTTTTACAAACTGTTAATATTACAAATCTGAAAAACCATGATATCCTACTAATGTATATCCTTGAATTAATGCACAGCTTAAAATATGATTATTACTTTTATAAAAAGATTTACATTTCATTTTCAGATTTCATTTTCAAATGAACTAATTGTAATTTTTTAATTTACCTAATTAGAAAATTTTTCATAAAATGTATTAATTTTAATAATGTTTTTTTTATAGACAGCTTTTGATTTCCCATACTGATTTATTGATCTTGAATTTATTATAATTTCTTATTAATTTTACCATATGTGCAGGATCTAGAACTATTGATACGGTGTTGACAACGCCATCAACTTTGGAACTTGTATTCAAATTGTCAACATCCAAAACACAACCAATTATTTTGACCATATTCGTGTTGGTTGGGCATCCATCAAATGTAAGAGAGACAATTGTTACTCCAGTTTTACTTAGGTGTATTCAACGATTTACTAATCCTGCTTTCTATGAATTATTAATATGATTGATTAAAAAATAGCAAACAGGAATTTTCCTTGCCTCATTAATAGCAACTACTAAAACAAACTAAGGCCTCTTTAGCTTAGTAGTTTTGGGCAATATTTTCTAATTGACGCCATTCCAGCATTTTTCTTAGCAAGCCTTGTAATAAAATGTTAATTCTCACATAATTATCCAATAACAATGTTGATGTATCTTTGTTGATTAAATTGTGATCTTTAAGATTTGAAATTATACATTTTAAAGATAAAATTTTTTTGTCTGACGTCGGGTTGATTGGTTCAAAAAAATTTTTTTTGTTTTCAAATTGATATCATGGGCTAAGATGGAAATTTATCGTTTAAGAAATCGTCTTTTGGGTGTGTCATCGTCTTCCATAACACTGGCTTCAACAAACAATTCTCTATTGATCTAGTAAAAACAATATTAACAATAAATATTAATATTGTGATAAAATTTTTTAACACAAAAAAAAAATTAAACATACCTTAGTTGACAATTCTTTATTAAAGATGTTAGATACTGGACTGTGGTTGGCGTTTGCAATTTCCAAACACTCCATACCATACCATCCACTTTTTTTTTTGTTTCTCATCAGAATGCAAATTTGTTGTTATCTCAGGATAATCTAATTTACCCTAATATAATATGATAATATTAAATTGAGTATAATGAATACTTATAAAATGAATAAAAAAATATTAAGTACAATTAACTTACAGAACGAACACGTTGTATTATTAATGACGGTACAGCTGTAGATTTCAACATAGTATTTTTAATATATGTATACATTAAAAGAGTCAGGCACGAAATGAGCAAAATATACAAAACTTTTTTCATTTACTATTATGTTTCTATGCTCATCATAGCGTCTACTGAACTCAATCCACTTCTCACGGATCTCTGGACATTTTGGATACCTATGTAAGCAAAATCATTCAAAATGTATCAGGAAAAAATAATAAGAGTGGAACAACTAGTCTCCAGATATTTTTGATAAAAATATGAATCAATTTATATTTTTTTCTGAAACATTAAACAAATTATGATTTGTTATAAAATTATTATTTATAAGAGTGCACAACTGCAAAAAATAATACAATTGTATACTAAGTAAAGTAAAATGTGAATGCATTAAATAGGTACTAATAAATCTCACTCACCTGTGAAAAGTTATTTGTTTCTCTTGACTCTTAAAGTTTTGTGTTCTACCACACAAATTACAGCTTGGCATTATAATTTAAATGAAACTATTTTTCAAATATACAACAAAGAGTTGGAAAAGCAAAGAAGACAGAAATAAATCTAAGTCGGAGAATAGTATTGAACGAATTGAATGACCAACGACCAAACACAATAACGTTGTTGTCTGTTAATATTTTGATAAAACAATTTTGAATTTTTAAAATAACAAACGTACAAAATATAAATCTGAGGTTAGAACTTGCACGCTATCTTGCGGCCAATAGTTTCGGTAAGTGAGTACTGTCTAAACTGCCCGGCTTCACTTTCTTAACACGTACGGAATAGACTATGACCTCTCTATATTATTACTCTATGCTACGAATGCTACGACCAGTCTGTGGTTTATCTTCTTAAACCGTGTTTATCACAATATTGTCAATAATTTCTTATCTAAACGCCGATATCTGAAATTACTTTACGCTTATTATTGTAACACGTGCGTAATCTGGAAGCATTTTCCTGACGTGTATAAATATCGATATCTATGTTATACCTATGTTTATTTCTATTACATGTATTTATAATTGATTATTACATATTAGAACTGGAAATCATCTACATAATATTTCACATTTGTGTTACCGACTACTGACGATTATTTAGTATTTTATTCTAGGTAATAGTTATGCTATAAAAACTAACAATACCTATATGTATAGGTTATAAGATAACATACTCGATAAAAAAAAGGATATTGTTTTATACATATTTCGTTTGTTTTGAAAATGGTCAGGTGCTAATGTCCTATGATAATCCGTAAACATCTACTATCTTGTAATTATTAACGAATATTTTATATTGCATACCGAATTATAATTATCCGGCTCATATCCATTTACAAAGCATTTAGTATAATAGTCCATCTATTATCCTTATTCCTTAATATTTCCAATAGAATAACTCCGGAAGTTTTCGTTCAAATTTCGATTACAATACGTCAAAATTTTCAGAAAAATAACCTGCTTCACATTTTGCTATAAAATATATATGTTGTCATTTGAAAAACCAAAGTTGGCATCGCCACAGGATAATCCTTAAATGTTTTGAAAAATCTAAGTACACGAAAATATCGTCTTTAAATACACTTAATAATTCCAAAAATCAGAATTTGAATATATGCATAATTTAAGCATAAAAATGGGGTGAGCATGCTTAAAAAATCATAGAATCCGATAGTTCAGATATTGAAACTACATCTGCGGACAGTTCAATAAAAGTATAAAAATATAAATCTAAGAAAGAATTAAAAGCGGCAATTTTAAAAGACGCTATCAAGAAAGAATTTTTAGAACAAACTAGGAAACAGATAGCTAACGCAGAAAGAGCTGTTAGGGAAAATTTTGTAAGAACACTTAGTTAAACTAACTCTTTTCAAAAATCTTAGTATGATAAATTTAGTTGACTTGAATATAGTACAGTCACTGATGCAGCTTATTGTTTCCCATGCAGATGTTTTGCTGGAAATGAAAAAAATAAGGGTCAAATAGATACAGCGTTTACAGTGAAAGGATTTAAAGGCTGGTATAGAGGGATTCAATGTTTACAAACTCATCAAACATCCTTAGCTCATTTAAATTGTGTAACAGCTTTAAACAATTTTCTTTCTGCCAAGTTTATAGATGAAGTTATTAATTAAAGTGTGACACAGGAAATAAGTAAACTAGAAAATGAGCGTTTGAATAATAGAAAAATCATGTGGCGCCTTGTAGAAGTAACTGTGTGCCTTGCCAAATGTGTTAAACCATTTCGAGGTCATGATGAGTCTTCTCATAGTTTTCAAAAAGGACTTTTCAAAGAATTTGTTGAGTTGTTGTCCAGATATGATATGGTGTTACAAAATCATTTTGAAAATGGCCCGAAAAATGCATCATATACAAGTAACAGAATTCAAAATGATATAATTTATTCTATTCACAGTGTACTATTACAAGAGCTGAAACATAATATACAACAAGTACCAATTGCCATTATTGCTGATGAGACTAGTGACGTAGGTCATCATGAACAACTATCTATTGTACGTTATTTTAGCCTCGCACTTAATCGACCAATTGAAACTTTTGTTGATTTGAAACTAATGTTATCAGTAACTGCAGAATCAATTTTCAAATCTTTAGAAAATGTTATTGAACAATTTAATTTAAACTGGAATTCAGTTATTGCCGTTTGTTTTGACGGAGCGTCAACCATGGCTGGTAACGTTGCTGGAGTTCAAGCTAAATGTAAAATGAAAAATGAAAAAATTTTATACGTCCATTGCTATGCACATTGCTTGAACTTAACACTAATGGATGCAGTTGGTGCTAGTACTAAAAATCGTCAACAAAATAAAATGGTTTCTGACTTTTTGGGAACTGTTCAATTTATATATTCGTATATTGAAGGAAGCCCAATAAGACATGCCATTTTTGAAAGAATAGCCAAAGAAAATGGCAGTAAATTGCATACATTAAAATCATCTTCACAAACTAGATGGGCCTGTCGTTCAGAAGCAGTGATAGCAATTAAAAGTAATAACAACGTTTTGTTTAAAGCGTTGGAAGAAATAACTGAAAATGTTTAATTTCAGAAATGAGAGCTAAAGGCAAAGGTATTTTACATCAAATGAAAACTTTAGAATTTATTTTCTGTTTAATTATGATGCAGCCTATACTAGAAATGATTTTAAAAGAAAGCGCTGTCTTACAAACTGAAAACTTGGATCTTTTAACAGCCATGTCTATTGTAAAATCATTAAAATCCTCTTTGAGTTCTATGAGAAGCTCTCCTCAAGATGAAGAATTCCATAAGGTCTTTAAAAAAACTGTTACAATGTGTGAAGAAAATAATATAATTATACCAAAAATTAAGAATAGGAAAGTTTCATGTAAAATGGACGATACACCATTATCGCAGCATACATACCAAACACAAAATGAGTATATTAAAATAGAAGTATATTTTTCAACATTAGATATTTTGGTGAATTCTCTGAATGAAAGGTTTCAACAAGAAACTGTTGATATTATTTGTGCAGTAGCTAAATTAATCAACTTAGAGTTTAATATTGAGTCTTCAAACTTATTCCAAAGGTTTTTTCATGTAGTTGCAGAAAATTTAGAAGCCGAGATTATCATTTTGAAAAATATGAAAGATACGCCTAGACCTATAGGAAATTCAGTAAGCACTATACATGAATGGCTTGATTGGTTGTCAATAAAAAGAAGAGCAGATAATTTCAAACAGTTTCTACAAGTATTAAGGATATTTGTTGTAATACCTGTGACCAGCTGTTCATGTGAAAGAACTTTTTCAAAATTAAGCATCATAAAAAATTAATTAATAAGCACAATGTCTCAGGATAGGTTAAATTAATTATTGTTTCTGTTTGTTGAACAAAAAATGACTGCAAATATGTATGCGGACTGTGTCGGAGCTATCGAAGAAGCTGTCTCTAGCTGGCCGCACAGCACTCGCGACATTGAAGTGACCTGTGTGTAGGCAATGAGTGGGTACTTAACAAACTAGGTAACAATATGAAACACGCAATTATAGGTGTGCGCACAAAGCACGAACGAAATCTATTATTGTACGAATAATATTTACAATATTTATGAACGGGGGTGTATGATCATACTTCACCTAAGTTCAGGAATGAAGATATACAATTTATATTACACAATGTAAACAAAAAGAACAAAGAACAATCTTATCTGGTTGGCGGTGGTGATAAGGGCATCGGCACTGACTCCTGGACACAGCGGCGACTGGAACTGGTACCAACTATCAGCAACGGACGGCGAAAGTGGCAAGGAACGGCGCACCGTCAAAAACGGGGTGGGCACACCTGCGTGTCGCGGTGCTCACGGCGTATCGGCGTGCAGCAGTGCCACGGTCGTAAACCACGTGGATTCCCCAAAACCAAATGCTCGCAAAGCACGGTAGACCGGAGAGGCCCTCAACTAAGCGCCGAACCGGAAGGGTATAGCCGACGAGTACGATCGGTGACGATTCACAAGTATGGTAATGAACGACGACTGCGGCACACAGTCGGTCGGAAGGAACCGCACACGCACAGCGGCGAATGACACCACGACGTCGACGGTAACGGTCTGGCGCGTTAGCACACACGGAGGGTCGATAATGGCCGATCGATATACCACTCTGGACGACGATACGAGCGTAATGGCTAAGAAAAGCGTACAAAATACAACAAATGGAGTCCACGGACGGGTCCGGACACTATGAGCAACAACCAGGTGGCGCGGGTACAAAAAAACACATTGACCCGCCAAGCACGGACAGAACTGGTTGACGGCGGTAGCCACTAGCCCGGGGCACAAACTCGATCACGGATGGTGGAGGGGGGGCGATGTTCAACTTCGCGAATGTTCGGCACCCGACGCGAGGCACAGCGGAGCAACGGCGTTGTTGCCCAAACAAAATATATTAAGTTAACAATATTATACCTCTATTTCCGATATATCGTATAAATACTGAGGAGGGATATTTCAAATAAAATATTTTTTACTTTACACACGAGATATAATATATACATTTAATTAAAACAATCTAATCGATACAGGGGCGGACTGGCTAGGCGACAGGCTAGTCAGCGGTTTTAAAACTTCGGGCCATGTTTTACGGAAAATTAATAATCATAATAAAGTTAATTTTTTTATTATACAAGGCTAAACTATATATTATAGCCGACAGGCCAGCCCACGATCGTTGACTAGCGGACCGGGTTAGTCCGCCCCCTGAATCGATAAACGTTAAATATCATAGATCATATATAAACTAACTAAACATGAAAATATCATAATAAATATATATATTTTTTTTTAACAATGTTAGAAGCATTAAACATATATACAATGTGATGAATATTAAGACAATGTAGATTAAAATAAATTATTTATATACTTAAATTTAAACTGTATACTAAATTATGTTAAATACTTATGAATTAATTAACAATAGATTATATTTTAAAGCAATTATTTATTAATTAATGATATAATGATAATCTACTAATATCGAAGAGGTAGGTCCACCTTTAAATGTATTTATTTATTAATTTCTTGGCGATAGATATTAATCCACCTCTTATCAGGAGCGGTATGAGCACGTGTATGCATTTTTTCATACACACATCGATTCATTGACATACCACTCCTGATATAGTTTAAGGGAAATTATTATAATGATATAGTTCCCTCCTCTTAGACATTAAATAGTTTACCATAACACGTTTATAGATTTTTAAATTATATATTATGGAGTTACTTATCTCCCGACTAGCTGACGATGAATTTATGATTTTCCTACATTAAGTGTCCGGAGTGGTGGCACACTGGAACCTGTCAATTCTTCTAACTATATAAGTAGTTATAAACCATTAATTACAGGAATAGAATTATTTCCTATCATGAATTAAAATTAAATTAAAAAAGGTGGGTAAGTGGATGTCGCTCTGCTGTACAGTAGGTTACAAGTGGGTCACTGTATAATGGATGCTATTAAATTTGAATTCAATGATACAATATCATTGTATAAGAAAAACGATTCTGAGCGAAGACGGTATGTCAGTCTAGGTTTAAGACAAATTATATACATATCTATGGTATTAAAAAAAAATTGACCTATAATAAATTCCAAATTAATCATATCACATTATCACAATATCCATTAGGTACTTATAACACGTTATACATCAACATCAATAATAAACCCTGATACTATCATAGATATATAAAAGTACACTTTAGAAGTTTCAAGTAGGTAATAATATTATATAATCACAACA